ACGCAAGGTGACTTCCTTCAAACACACGGGCCAGAGAGCTCTACCTGTGGAACACAGAATGTAGGAGACATAATCTCACACGTGTCCACGAGAGTTTGGTATGTGCTCTGTGTGCCTTGGTGCTCGACCAACGTCATGCTCAGCTGAACTGCTGAGTTCAACCACACGGCATCTCATCCTTGACTTGGTTTAACTCATTAACCTTTACCACTCAGGTGGAAAGAGGTGTGAATCACAGCTTTACTAATGACTATCACTGCTGGAACACTTCAATCTTTGTGACTGATTAACTGGAATATTATGCATGCAGTGAATCACCGCTGTGCAGCTTCTGGAATGGTCTATTGAGAGTTTACTGGAATTAAATCTGTATTTACTGATGAAGAGAAGAGTGGTACATTTTAATTTTAAGAGATCTACACCACGGATGATTGACAATCCAACTAGAAGTCTTTTTAAATACAGAGGTATCCAAAAGGCAACTATTTAGTTAAAAAGATATGGTTTGACTTTCTGGGAAAGTTGAATAAAGACTGAATACAGGGTGAGAGAGCTAGTCTGGGTCTGTCCAAAGCTCACTAAATCCACTGATCAGCATCATTTAAGCTAACGTTATATCTTCTTTGGTATTTAAATCTGTACAAAAACTGTCAAAGTAATGAAAAAGCACCGATTCATGATTTACGAGGGACCGCTTGCAGGACCTCTTCTTTGGAGTCCCCGCTGGTTGCCTTCCATGTGGTCCTGGCCAACGAGCAGTCTGACACAAAGGCCCCCAAAAACTGCAGATTGTCGTATTTACACTTCCGTTTTTTGTATGAATTAAACTAATGACGTATAATGTGATAAGTATTGAGCTTTAGAAGTGCTGATATGCAGATTTTGATACCTTTGGACAGAGCCAAGCTAGATCTTTCCAGTCTTTATGCTAAACTAAGCTAACAAACAAACATATTTACCATACAAACTTGCGAGTGCATCAGCTTTCTTAACCTCGCTCTCTGCAAGGAAAACGAATGAGCAAATTTCCCAAACTCTGTTTCCTTGAGGTAGTAACTTACTGATACCAGAAAGACTCGGGCAAAACGGGAGAGCTTACAGTTTTGGGTGTGAAACAGAGCAAAATCAAACCAAGAGCACTTTGAATTTTTTTAAACCAATTTATAGTATACTGTATATCTTGTGACCCATCCCCCACTCTGCTGCACAAGATTCCCGAGCCTCCTCCTTCTCCTCCTCAGAAGGCTTAACTCTACTCCTGGTGTCCCAGATTATGCAGCCAATTAGGGCAAAGGCAAAGCCCCTTCTGCTGCCAGAGAGTGGTGTGTGTGTGTGTGTGTTTGTGTGATGTTACTGTCAGCCTGTTGCGAAGCAGCACAAGGACACAGAATGACTCAGTGGTCCAAAGGGACACCTTCAACAATCTAAATTTAGAAGAAAAAAAAGAAAGGTGCCCACTGATTGGGGTGATAAACTGCGTGAATACTGAATAACTTCATTTCCCAAATACATGCCATCCAATGTGAATTATTCCTGCCATGTGCTGGACTTCCTTCCCTTTCTTATGTGAATTGTATATATTCAGACTCCATAGAAAGTGCAGACCTTCAAAGTTGTTATGGTTTTCATTATATTTTATTCAACAGCACCACCAGCTGGCAAATAATAAACTGATTGAAATTCAGAAGCAAATCCCAAAAAATATGGTGTGTGTGTGTGTGTGTGTGTGTGTGTGTGTGTGTGTGTGTGTGTGTGCGCGATGACAGTCCAGGGAGGTGCCTCTGAAAATGAGCCACACATGAGCAAAGCTCTAGCTCCTATATACTCGAGTCTTTCTCTCGGCTTCTGTGGGCTGAGTTGGGGGAATGCATTTTGAAGACTGAGCACATGCAATGTCTGTGCTATGCCAATGAAAATGCACACACACACACACAAAACATTCTGCACCTTTCCCTCGTACCATCATTCAGTATCTGAGGTCGCTGCCTCGCTGGAAGCTGCAGAGTTTGTGGTGTTTATGTGCGGGTGGTGATGCCATATCTCGACTCGGGGTCCCACGGAGGACCCGCCACCTCGGACGTGGATGCCGGGACGGTCCTCACCGTCGTTAACGTCACTGTGGCGTTCATGGTCATCATTTTACTCTTTCAGTTGATGTGGTTAGATGGCAATAAAGATTGTGAAATCTGAGATTATGCGGCGAAAACCAATAATTTAAGACAATATGACCTCAGGGGAACACTGCTAACAGTGCTAATAGAGTGAGTATTACTGCGCATAATCACAATAGTGTTCAGTTTCTCATACTAGTTACCAATTTCTAAGGAGTTGAAACAAAACAAGCAGGAAAAAAAACACCACAAACGAAATCACAGGTAATTATTAGCATCATTCAGATACATATTATAAGCTTCACTATATTTTTTTCCGGCAGATTATTATGGCTTTCATCAACTCCATACTTAATATATAATAAAATCACAGGCAGCCCTTTCCAGCAATCAACTTCTCGGCATCAAGTGGCTGGTGAAGAAGTCAAGCACCTGGTAATGTGAAAACCCACTTGAGAAGCCTATAGTTTATCAGTGGTGTGTTTCTGTGAGGGTTATTTTGGAATATTTCTGGGTCACAAGTCACTTTATGTCTCTGACACCATTGTACACATAGCAGTTACTGGTATTTTGGGTATGGGAGTGGTGAAACAAATACTTCACACGCTTGATCAAAACGACATCACATCCTCCTGAGTGTTAGACGTGACATATTCTGCGATGTTTCACAACCACCTGACACTGGCCAGCTGCTGGTTGAGCTCCTCCGTCAGTGCCTCGGTGTCGCAGCGCTCGGTGTCGCAGCGCTCGGCCGGCCTGCAGCAGCGGGCTCCGCCTCCTGGCCCGGCTGCCGGGGAACAGATGGGGCGACTGTTCTTTGGGCGATGGCAGCAGAGATACCATCAGTGGGGATCGCTGATTAACTACACTGCTGAGGGCTGGACGCCTCTGGGACATTCTGGGGGGGGGGGGGGGGGAATTCAGATCGAGGAGCAGAGGCCAAAAGATTTAAATTAATTTACTGTATGTAAACACCCAAGAGAAACATGCAAAGATGTACTGTAGGAAACACATTGTTCTCTGGTCGTATAAAATTAGAGCCTTAATAACCTTATGGACGTTCATTGTGCATCTTTTACACCGTTACTTAAACCCAAAAATGTCACACTAAAGATCTGTTTATACAGTAGTTCATTCACGCATCGACAAACAGCTGTATAAGCAAAAGGAAACATCTGTCACATATTCCATACTGTCATACATACCTAACGTCCTCATGGTGGAAACTTAAATATCCAGAACTAATTCATCAGGAAAAGCTGCTCTGGTAGCCAAATTCTCAATATCCAGGTGCAAATACAAAAACAATATATAGTGTAATGCTTTTTTGTTCAATGTCTGCAAGACAGCTGGAGGCTATTTCAAAATCACGTTGTGTGTGCATCCACGCCTCAGGAGGAGAGCGCGTTTCCAGCCTGGCTTGTGATCATTTGGTCTCAACCTGACAGCAGGAAACAAGCACTGGGCCTCCAACAGAGTCACACCACTGCCAGTCTTGTGTCAGACACAGAAAAAGCTTTCGGACAAAAAGCTATGAATCTGTCTCCATCCATCATCATATTACCAGTTAGAGGTGTGATATGACATCCGTCAAAACACAGACAACGATACGGCCAGAGCTGTTGACTTCTCTACAATATAAAACGGCGAATCAGGGTCAGAGTGGTTGAACATATCGACGGTTAGACAATATTGATGTATTATAATATTAGTTAAAGCTAATCAATATTTCTATATCCCATGATCACTGCCCAAAACATTTCTGATGAGAGTGAAGAACCAAAACAGTAAAGTTGCAGGTCTGAAAAACAAAACAACAATCTGAACACAGCTATAAAAGCTCTGGAGAGCTGAGGGTAGCTGCAGAGTCAGGTAATATTTCTCTGTGGGTTCATCACTGCCAGCGCACACCTCTCAGATACACTGAAGAAAAATATAACCTTTTGTTTTCACTGGCATTTTCCACGAGTTGAAATATAAAGTTGAGTTTATCTATGCAGACAAAAGGCTGATTCCTCTTAAATTGTGTTGACAAATTTGTTAAAATCTCTGTTATTGAGCGTTTCTCCTTCACCGTGATAATCCATCCACCTGACAGGTGTTGCATATCAAGATGTTGATTAAAACAATGGTTATCGCTGGTCCCAATAACAGGCCACTGAACTGTGCATTTCACATGACTAGGGCCACAGATGTGCATTTTTTTTGGTGACATGGGATTAATCGGTGAGGAGAACACTTCTCCAAAATGCCAGACGCCATCGAAGTTGAGCATTTGCCTACAACTGTCAGATCAAGACCCTGTTGAGGACGACTAGGACTCGGGGTTCCCTGAGATGGTTTCTGACAGTCTGTGCGGAAAGGATTTGGTTGTGCAAACCACGTGCTGCATCAGCTGTCCAGGTGGCTGTTCTCAGATGATCTTGCGGTTGAAGAAGCCGGATGTGGAGGTCCTTGCCCCGGCCCGGGTAACATGTGATCTACGGTCATGAGGCCGGTTGGATGTACTGCCAAATTCTCAGAGACGACATTGGAGGCTAATTATGGTTGTGAAATGAACATTCAATAAGCCCTTTTCACAGCAGCCATTTTGACATGTCATAGTCGGGTGAGCACAGGTGCAATTGCTAAAAATGAATTATGGTCCCAGTGTGTCACAGCCATTCCAGTGAGCCAGCATGCACAATGCCAGGCCCCTGGCTCACCTAAATGGAGCAGGGCCATAATTAGCGTGATTAATTACGCCTGTGTTTACCCTGTAACGACATGTCAAAAATGAGATCTGTGAAAAGGGCCTATTCACAGCTCTGGTGGACATTCCTGCAGTGAGCATTCCAATGGCTAGCTCCCTCAAACCTGCAGACATCTGTGGCACTGTGTTGTGTTTTAATGTGCACATTTCAGAGTGGCCTGTTATCGGGACCAGACCAAGGCCCAGCTGTGCTACAATCATGCTGATTTAATCAGCATCTTGATATGCAACACCTCTCAGGTGGATGGATCATCTTGGTGAAGGAGAACTGCTCACTAACACGGATTTGTGAAACATGTCTGTGAAAACAATAAGAGAAATCAGCCTTTTGTGTGCATAGAAAGGGTCTTAGATCTTATATTTCAACTCATGAAAACTGGGAGTGAAGACAAGAGTGTTGTGTTTTATATTTTTCTTCAGTGTATATGAAAGTTGTCGCTGGCAGTGATGCACCCACGGAGAATTATTACCCGACTCTGCAGCTACCCTCAGCTCTCCGGAGCTTTATAGCTTTGTTCAGCTTATTGTTTTGTTTTTCCAGGCCTGCAACTTTACCATTTGTTCTTCACTCTCATCAGAAATGTTTTGGGCAGCAGCAGGCAGCTGTTTTCAGCAAAGAAAAAAAACGCTCTAAAACCCCACTGTGTGCTACCTATCCTCAACACAACCTTTCTCTTTGACAAACCTGCGCTTCAATGTGCTTTCACATCTCGCTTCCTTGGGGTCAGCTACACCCGTTTTCACTGAACCATTAACGGCAGCAAAGGTCATTCCTGAGTCCCCGTCGCTCCTTTTCCTCACGGCTGTGTTGAAGGTGTCCGAGTACAAAACCTCCTCTTGGATGTCCTTCAGGTCTTTCCTGCCAAACGTCACCCAGGCCACGGAACAGAAGAAGCTGTACAAGCACTAGAAACACAGGGTGGGGGGGCGGTGAAGAGTGTCACCTGGGGGCTCTTTGTATACTCAAATCTATTATTTCCATAATTCCATAATTCATCCTTTTTGTTTAAGGATCCATTGAATGAACGTTCAACATGCTTTCTTTCTCACAGCTACTTGTTCTTCCGTGTTTGTAGAAGGTCACAACAGCTATTTCTGTCGTCAAAAAAAAGGTCACATACAGAGCAGGCAATAACCTGCTGCTGTTGTTAGCGTGATATTTCTCTCCCTCTCCACCCACCTGGCTAAATACTGGAGAGAGCCTGTCAAAGCAAAGCACCTGTGTTGAGTCAACATCTCCTCCCACTAAGTAATTCATTTAGGCCAGGCATAACCAGCACTCAATGTCGCTCTGTTCCGCTCACTGCCGCCTGTATTCACAGATGGCGAACTGGCTTCACTTTTATTTGTCTGTGCAGATGAAGCAATACAGGGAAGACATTTCAAATGGATCAAGTTATTTAAAAAATGAGGGGATTGGTCAGTGGATTAATTGAAGCAGCCCCTTTTTGCATTTAAAGAGAATAGTACATTTGTAGCACATTGTAGGGTTCCCATTGCAGCAGCCACTCTGTGCTGTTTGACGACGTCCGGCCCTGGAAAAACACAGCAGAGCTCGGCATGTTGTGGCATACTGTGATTGGTTGACTTCTATTTGTGGACGACGGGATCATTTTAGCACTGGGTCCAACATTTATGTTCAGAACCTGTTCGATGCTTGACTGTATTTATACATTTCAACAGGACGGAACTTTATTGAAAGCAAAAGGTTTTTATGAGAGACCTGAGAACAAAAGAACACTTAAAGTCAGACCTGAGACACAACTGCACGGCCATAGTAGAAGAAACCATGCCCACACTTCAAATATGAGTACGCAAATTACAAAAAAAACATAAGAATTGCAAGTCATAAAAACTATAATAATAATAAAGCTCTAAACTAATGAAAGAATCTAGCGTGAGACCTTGTTTGCTGTTCATTTTAAAAGGTGCATAGTATCTGATAGTGCTTACAAATGGGTATCAAAGGTTAATGGTTCTCTATATGATATTCAGAGCATTAATATAACGGCAAACAACTATTTGTTATGTAACGATATAGTGGAGTAAAGTCTACCGGAGCAGAGAATGAAGTCACTCTCTCTGTGTGTGTGTGTGTTATAATCTGTGCTTCTGCTTTGTTTACATAGCCAGGTCTTTTAGTGCAAGTTAGCGTGTCCCACAGGTTAGCTCATGGCCTGGGCTCTGCACAGCGCTTATACGGCTGTCACAGCTGATAACGCCGTCCTGACCGAGGGTGCTATCGCGTAAGCGTAGCGCCCACAGTCCAGCTCCCTCTCAGGTAAACACTGAGTTCTTTCAGCACTGTTACCTTTGTTTGCACTGTTAGAAACGTTAGCTGCGAGACACTGGCTCAGCCGTCACCATGCTGACAGCCGTTGAGAGGCAAAAGATATGCTCTCAATTTCGCATTTTCGCACCTTTTAAGGTCTCTTTTTGTTTTTCTTACTGCCCCTTAAGTGTATTAATTAAAAAGAAAACCCTTTCCGGGGAAGCACAAAGCAGAAATTTGGTCCTAAAAAGACGGTTACTTTGTAAGATACCCTCTTGGTTTGTTGAACTCACACTGCTGATACGACATATGGCGGCTTATTATATGAATATCGGATGTTGATCCTTTCTTGTTGATAAGAGAGTCCACACAACTTTGCATAGCAGAGAGCAAAGATGAACTATTTGTTCAGTTATTAGAATACACTTTCCTGGTAGGTTAAATATAGAGTATGAGATAATTCCTTGCAGATCTTACTTGGCTAGAATGACAGCTGGGTGTTTCTGATGTCATTCAGATGATCACGACCCTTCAAAGCATTTCTGTCATAAAGATTTCCCTGAATTACCCAAATAAACTTAATCCAATTAATATAAATCCTCATCTTATATGTGACTTCCCGCATAAATGTACTCTCCATCCACAAATACTCACTTGTGACATGCTGTGTGTTGATGCTGTTCTACCTCTAGGTCCATGATCAGGCTGAAGTAGCAGACAGCCAGCTTCTTTTGTGCTATCTCCTTTTTGGCCAAAGCCTCTGCCGTCATCTTCTGCTCTGTGATGATGTCCACACTGGCAGGTTAGTTAGGACGGGGGTGAGGGTGTAGAAATAGAGGACAGAGAGGAAAAGAAGAGGATTGGAAGAAAAAATAAAGAAAGTAAAAGAGGACACAAGCATTGGTGGATAAAGAAAGGGGAAGAAAACACATATAGTAACTGTGACAACATTAACACTACAACATTATGATGGCAATACATACGACGATAGACTACACTCTTCCATTCTTTGCATACTTACGTCATGAAAGACTTGGGTGTGTTCTCCAGAGACTTGTGGTCAAAAAAACAACACAGGTAAAGGAGGAGGGCGGTCAAGACTTCGTCCAGCTCTTTACTCCTGGACACAGACAGGTAATTAGTATCAGCGTATGTCTCATCTTCTCATATAATGCACAACAATTGGAACTGTGTGCATGTATACAAATCATGTCTTTGTATTCCTTACCAACACAGCCAGGAAGCCGACCGGAACGGGAAGCGAGTGATTCTCCTGCAGCAAACCGACAGCCACCCCTGTAACACAGAGAGCTCTCGTCAGGACAGGTTCAAAGCCATTTTTGCTAAGTATTAACAAATTGCCTTTTTGGGTCTTTGTCAGTTGAATCCATTTGCACATCCATTTGTGATGTCGACGGGTTTGTCGAACTTTTCACCCCACAGTCAAACAATCTGATTTGCTTCTCCACCGTCTCTAAAACACACGCCTGTGCACACGCAAGTAAACGCACCAACACACACGCAGCGCTGTAACATGCAGTGTTGTCCGGTTCCAGTTTCTAAATATCACTAATGCAACAAATATGACAAAATGATCTATTTTGGGGAGCATGTTTTGCTGTATGCTTTCCATATTTTTCAAGTTAAAAAGTGGTTGCCGTCCAATTTCTCAAAATGGTTTCGAGTGGCAACCTGTCGAGTCCTGTGGGCATAGAAATATGTGATTCTTTGGCAAAATGCTAGCTATGATTTGATATGAAGATTTATCATTAATTAATAGATCTTCAGTTTGGAAAAGCAATCATTAGGATATAGTGGTCATAATTTGGTTGCACAAAAACCTAAATCTTTTTGGGGGGTATAGGGATACCAGAGCAAGCGCTGAAGTAATGGAGTATTATTCTTATGAGAATCAAAAACAGATTGACACTTGCGTTTAACATCATCGGTGGTGATGCGGTCCCCTTGCCTCCACATCACCGAGGACCTGTAAGCATGAAGAGGAGCCTGGCTCAGGCCCTTTCTAATGCTTTGGTGCCCTCTGTGGTTCAACGTATAGATCTCAGCCAACCTGGGGAACAAGCACAGACTGCGTAAAAGAAGAAGTGCAAAACATTGTGTGTAGTTACAAAAAAAGACGGGGGCGTCGTGTCTAAGAGGTTTTTAACGTAACTTTGATGCAAACGTTGTTCCCCTATCAGGTTCAGAGGCGTTACCCCTTTGGGTTTCGTCTTGTTTGTTGTTTTTATTAATGTTGCGGTGACCGTGGTTAGAGCTTGCTCGGGAGCACATCCATGGTTTTGGGTGAGTCGCCAGTTTCTGGTTGCTTTCCCTCGCCACTGGGCTTCAGTGCGTAATTACCCGCCACCATTAACTGCATGAAGACTATGGTTATGGTTAGGCAGTCAGCTAGAGGGGCGCACTCGTGTGCTGATTAGGCCAGACTCCGTGGCTTGTGCACCAGTAGCTTTCACGGTTCGTTTCGTTGATTTCGGTTACACGTAAGTATGGAGAGTGTTGATAGCTTCTTTGCTTCTCCCTCTGAGAAGTTGTTAGATCTTTGCACTAAAGACCAACTGCTAAACATAGCAGAATATTATAAAATCGAAGTTGGTGATAAACGTCTGAAGGAGAGAGTTAAGGCCATTTTGAAATCTAATTTATTTGAAAAGAATGTTTTGACTGAGGATCCGTCAGCTGTTTCCCAGGAGGCCGTGTGGTCTCCGCCCCAAACAGGATCTAATTTAACGGCTGAACAGCAAAAAGAGTTACTGATGTTACAACTTGACCATGACAAGTTTAAGCAAGCTGAACTGGAGAAAGAATTGGCTGTGGAGAGGCTGCGCCAGCAAACCGAAAGTGCCAAATTGGAGATTGAGCAGTTTAGACTGTCATTAATTAAGGGAGGCAAGCTGTCAGCTGGTGAGTTTATTAGGAAGTCGTCGCTCTTGCCAAAGTTTTCTGAAAAAGATCCGGAGTTGTTTTTTTCATTGTTTGAGCGTGTGGCGGATGCGCGTAATTGGCCAGACTGAGCGCGCACGCTGATGCTGCAGTGCATGCTGACTGGGAGAGCGCAAGAGGCGTACTCCTCGTTAACCGATGCTGATAGTGAAAAATATTCATCTGTGAAGGCAGCGGTTTTAAAAGCATACGAGTTGGTTCCTACGGCATACCGGCAACGATTTAGGAACTTTAAAAAGGAGAGAATCAGGGTCATCTGGAATTCGCGCGAGATCTGAATATTCATTTTACTCGTTGGTGCTCTGCTTCAGGTATTTATGACTTTGATCGGTTGGATGAACTTGTGGTACTAGAGCAGTTTAAAAACTCAGTTCCTGTGCGCGTTGCGGCGTACATCAGTGAACAGAAAGTAACGAACGCGGCTGCAGCAGCGGCACTCGCTGACGATTACGTGCTTACGCACAGAGGCGGATTTGCTGATCACAGGGCTGGTAATGGTAACAGGGACATGAGTGCTGCCGGTGGCAGAGAGTCACTGGGCAGGCATGGTGAAACTGTTCCAGTTAGAGGCAGTAGTAGTCTGCGTAATGCGGAACGAGGTTGTAACTATTGTCACAAACGAAGGTCGACTGTCATTTGTTGAAACCTCAGCCTAAACATGCTGCATATGGGTCTCACGCTAAAGGGGTTGGTCTAGCCCAGAGGTAGCCAACACGGTGCCCGCGGGCACCCTGTCGCCGGCAGGGACCACGTGAGTCGCCCGCAAGGCATGTTCTAAAAATAGCACTAGTCACCATGGAGCTCCGTCTAAAATTGGAGTTGCTGTTCTTTTTAAATCAAAAACGCATTAGTGTAAATTTTAAAATGACAATATTTCTTGTCATAAGAGAGTTGGGTACCCGGAGGCGCACGCGGACACCCAGGACGAGGCCGCCGCACCGCACTAGGTTTTCAGGTTCCGAATGGCGGGCGCTTCCCGTTGGCGCCAGACGCGCGCCGCGAGCGCACCCCGTCGTCAGGTCCGTAAATCCTCGGAACAGGCCGCGGGGCAATCCGACCGAAAAGGCCCAGACTAGAGGTTTGAACGCGGGCGCCCGAAGACGCTCACGCGCCTCGGAGGGTTGGATCCCCCGCTCGGCTATAGACGAGACTGGTTACTAGTTTCTTCGTGGAGACAAAGGTACCATTGGAAAAGCTGGTGTCGGTGACAACAGACGGGGCTCCGGCGATGACGGGCCGGCATGCAGGCTTCATTGCGCAATGCAAAGGTGACCCAGACTTCGCAAAATGTCTACATTACCACTGCATCATTCACCAGCAGGCACTATGTGCAAAAGTAACCGGCTTTAATCATGTGATGATACAAAAATATCAGAGATGTGATACCTCTGACTTTCAAATGTTGAAACAGATTAACAGAAATAAAAGTTGCATGTTTAAATATGTATGTGTAGCTATACCATTATTGTTGTGGAAATCATTCTTAATAATTATTGTGAGGAATAATTAACTGACATGTGATCAAACAGTCTCTTCACATATATTATTATTATTAAAAGGTGATCTGTGCATCTTTGTTATTCAGGAAGTTTGTATCAAATAAGTAGCCCTTCGTACTACTCGGTACCCTTGAAGTAGCTCTGTTTAAAAAAGGTTGGTGACCCCTGGTCTAGCCGCACCCGTCTCTCAAGTTAACACTCCTGACGGTTTTGACTTGCAGGTAAAAAACTCTGGCCCCGAGAGTTTGGATCCCTACCGGCCATTTATCCATGAGGGTTTGGTGTCGATGGTAGGAAGTGAGACGAAGGTGCCAGTGGCAATTTTGAGGGACACAGGGGCTTTGGGCTCTTTTATTCTGGCAGGACTACTTCCCTTGTCCAGCGAGTCTGATACAGGAGACTTTGTTCCGGTTCGTGGTATGAATTTAAATGTCATGTTGGTTCCTGTGCACAAAGTAATGCTCCATTGTGATTTGTTCCAGGGTGAAGCTAAGCTAGCGGTGCGCCCAGCATTCCCAATCCAGGGCATTTCGGTCATCCTGGGAAACAGTTTGGTGCTAACAGTTATATATGGGAAAATATGCACATGTACATTCCTAGGGGTACTGTACATGTGCATGAAATGTCACTGTAAATGTCAAATGAACCAACTTATATTGGAATTAGTTTAAATAAAAATAATTACTAAATAACTTGAAAACTGACAAAACTTTAGGAGGGGTGTTTTTTCTTTATTTCTTTTTTTTAGCCACCTTTATCTGACACTATAAGGTCTCAAAACTTTGATGTTTGCTCAGCATGCAGATGAGAGCCTCCATGTAAAGATAAGTTCCTCTCCATGACTCTGCAGATTGTGTGCTCTCCGTGGCGCAGATGACAACTGAGAGACGGAAACGCTGCGGGATGACAACAATACACAGACGCATGCACATGCAAACAAACGCACACAAGAGTAGGAGTTTTACGTGAGTCAGAGAAGTTATTTCACATGGCATTCTCCAAGAAGAGAACAGTGATCAGTGAGACCAGAGCCTTTAACCATGAATGGACAGACTCCTATATGTTAATTCTTCACACGGGCAGTTCATAAGCAGTATGTCTCATACTGTATGTTCAGAGACCGTGGCGATTATTAAAAACGGCAATGTGAAGAATCACTACGAGACAAAGCACAACTCTTTTGAGCAAACGTACCCACTCACATCCAAAATGAAGTCACAGAAAATAGACCTAAGAGCCCAACATGATCAGAATCCTAACGCATGAATTAACAGAGAGGAATAGAGCAGTGTAATGGGAAAATATGTCATAGTCTCATGTGAAGGTTTAAAGAATGTAAGTCCTAAAAGAGCAGACACGAAACTGTAGTTTCAGTAGATGACTTTAATTAGTTTAGTATCCAGGTGTCTTGTTATCTGTTATCATTGTGCACTGTTTCTTTCTTCTTCGTATCTGTTATCTTGTGCACTGTTTCTTTCTTCTTCGTAAGACAGAGACACAGAGAGGCCTTGACTAACAGAGATCCTCTGTTTGAAATACTTTTGACTTCCTTTGTGACGCATTATCTGAAGTTGTAAAGGCGTAAACCTTTGCATGCATATATGATGTGTGAATGTCTATTCTGTCTCTGCAATGGTCATTTTAACAATGTCACAGTGGCTTCAAAGGAAGCATCTGCTGTGAGATTTAAACGATTTATTGTAAGGCAAACTGTGAACAAAGAGATTTGCAAACAGGAGCTAAAGCATCTTCCTGACTGTCTTAAATGAAGTATACTAAGGCTTGAAGGATGACCTGCCTTTCATTGTGTTCTTTGTGTATTCTTGTTAGCTAAGCAGATAACAGGAAGCTGTCTGAGCATAAATGTCCATGCATTGTGACTGTTAGGTAGACCACTCTTACAGATCACTGCAATGTGTCTGTGAGACTGTTCTCTTTGCTTGCAAGCAAATAAATTGACTTTACAAACCTTGATCGTTCATCAAAACTCTGTTTACTTTATATTGATAGAAAACCTTCACTTTCTTCTCCCGACTAGTCATAAGAAATATTCCACAACAGCAGAAACAAGTGGTTTAAAAAACACAGATATAATCCCTGCACACAAATTTCTCTTATTAGAAGATGAGAAAAATATAATACAATATGTTTTTTTTATTGACATCACTTCACACCTGAATGAACTGAATTTAAAGCTGCAGGGCAATTCAGTGAAATACATTTTTCAAAAATGAAGTATACTTTATTTTAAGAGTCACATTGTTCAAAAGCTTTTGGTTATGTAATTTATTCTTTAATCCAGCCATTATTTTACTTGAAACGAGAGATCATTTATTTATTATTAGATGATGTTGTAAGAACCATTTTGTTGTTTTGTTTTTGTACAACCTCCCACCACATGGGGGCGTAGTGCCGGTGTAAATCAGTGCACAGGTAATATAATCACTGGGGTCATTGGACACAGGTTGTTGCTAATAGGCAGAAGCAAACAGTTTTTGACCGTGCAGATTCAACGAATGTAAATGTTATGATTTATTGGTTTATGGAGAAAATGGATAACTGAAGAGAAAGTGGTGGAACTCTGATTAAGTGAGAAATAAAATGCTTATATTGGAAACTGGACTTCGTTATTTATGACACGCGTCAGAACAAACATTTCAGCAACCGTAGTGACTTTTTTATTGGGAAGCAACGGTCACGACAGATGTATTATTTATAATTCATCCAGTTCAATTTCATGGCTCAACTAGATCACATGTATCACATTCAATTCGACCTCCAGTCGCCATCTCGGAGCAGCAGCGACCTCCAGTGCCCGCTGCCACCTTCGAGTCACAGCAACCTCCAGGACCTGCTGCCGCCTTCGAGTCGCAGCGACCTCCAGTACCTGCTGCCGCCTTCGAGTCGCAGCGACCTCCAGGACCTGCTGCCGCCTTCGAGTCGCAGCGACCTCCAGTACCTGCTGCCGCCTTCGAGTCGCAGCGACCTCCAGTACCTGCTGCCGCCTTCGAGTCGCAGCGACCTCCAGTACCTGCTGCCGCTTTCGAGTCGCAGCGACCTCCAGTACCTGCTGCCGCCTTCGAGTCGCAGCGACCTCCAGTACCTGCTGCAGCCTTCGAGTCGCAGCGACCTCCAGTACCTGCTGCCGCCTTCGAGTCGCAGCAACCTCCAGTACCTGTCGCCGCCTTCGAGTCGCAGCAATCTCCAGTACCTGTCGCCGCTGCCGCCTTCGAGTCGCAGCGACCTCCAGTTCCTGCCGCTGCTGGACCAGCATCCTGTTCCCCGGAGCCCCGACTCAGAGAGTCCAAGTCTGGCCCGCCGGAGCACCCGTGTCCGCAGCCCTTCTGCCCATCCGGCTGTCCGCCGGAGCACCCGTGTCCGTGTCCAAGAGCCGTTTGAGAGGAGAACTTTGAGGAGAAACTGCACAATCAGACTAGCAGGAAAGGGAAGCAGTACATGCGAAGCTTCTCCATTAGCTGTACACCAGACAGGTTTTGCTAGCTGGATGACGTCATGCTAATAACTTATTTAGCTTTTTAAAACAACGGGGACAGATCCAGCACGGACAGTTAGGGAGTGAGGGACATGAAGCACCTGCTGAGAAATGATATATAGTTATAAATACATCATTATATATATGTGTGTGTTTTATATTATAGTGAATATTATTATATGATATATATATATTATTATATTATTATACGATATATATATTATTATATGATATATATATATTATTATATGATATATATATATTATATGATATATATATATATATTATATGATATATATTATTATTATATGATATATATATATATATTATTATATGATATATATATATATTATTATAGGATATATATATTATAGAGCATATTATTATATGATTTATATATTGTTATAGGATATATATATTATTATAGGATATATATATTATTATCTTATTATATGATATATATATATATATTATAGAGCATATTATTATATGATTTATATATTATTATATTATACTGAATTCCCTGTGTGGGTGACACAAATAAGATGTCCTGACGTGTTTGTCAAAGTGTTATTTACTGCTTTTTTCATGTTGGAATAAAAGTTAAATATTTAACTGCAAAGTAGTAATACGTGTTTGATACCTTCATTTTTTTTGCATTAAATCATTTGCTGAAATTGATTGGATGTGGCACAGCCCTACCTAGAACATGTT